GCCTAATATTTTATATTGCCATTGATATTATAACTACTTCTACTACTCTGGTATTTGTCAGAAGAATTTAATCTTGCTATGTTTATATGCTGTAGCAACTTCAGTTGATGAACACATGTACTAGGTTCTAAGTTGCTTATAACTAACTGATTAAAAATAAATGGACATTTTTAAAAACCCTTGCTGAACCTTCATCAGTCGCCTTGTCCATCGGTGTTGATAAGATTTCCAGGACAAGTGGAGCGAATCATGAGCTTAACAGCTTTATTACCTATGATTAGACCGTATATTGACTCAGAACAGTCATGAAGCGTCAGTTTACAGTTAAAATTAGAAGGAATTGTATTTCAAACATTTTCACAGTTTGTTAGGGTCTTTACCAAACAGGATCATACCATCTATAAGCTCTAAGGGTTAATGAAAGAGTCTTCGGATAGGAAAAGTCAGACGAATCAAGAGTTAATCTTAGGAGCATGTTTGTGACAATGAAAAAGAAGGTCGAAAGTACGTAACCCTGATGAACTCTACTTGATGTAGTTAGTGTAGATGATGATTCGCCATAACCTAGGTCTTGACAGATAGTGTTCGAGTTATGAGTTTCATGTACTTCCTTGATACATATTTCAGTAATAAACATTCTTACAAGACATGTATAGGGGCTAAGTCAAATATCATCATCTTAAAGAATATAATTACAGTTGAGCACCAGTGTAAGTATGTCTGTGAATCCAAATCATATCGAAACATATATATTTAATCTATACATTTCTGTTCGAGTCCAAAACCCTCCCTCTTCTTTCCTATCTACCTTACTTTGCTCAACACCATTACTTACAAGTATCTCGCATAATTTTTTTATCACTCTACATTTCATTTACTTTTCTGACTCATTGTTTCCTTTTATCAGTGTGAATTTATACATAGTGGTTTTATAAACATTATTGTTTATCTAAATTATGAGCATCATAAATTACTTCATTTTAATGATATCAGACTATTAAATTCAGCTAAACAGGATTGTATTAGTAACTACTGTTTTTACAGATAAGCTACTACTATTACTACTTAGTGACACTTATACTACTTAAATCTAACAAGTGATATTGGTCACCGACAAATGTCTTTGATTGCTATTCTTTATTTTTATGGAGAATATCCTCTGTTGTCCTGGTTTTTATGTTATGTTATTTCAGGTGTTGTAATCTTATTAATTTTACTACCTGTTCTCCCCCTTGCTCCCTTCTCCCTCGTAGTTTTTCTTGTACTACTGGTCGTTGCATTCTTTTTTTCTTAAAACAAACAATACAACCGTTATTTTCTATGAAAAAAAACTATTTCGCCAAAGTAAAGGGAGAAAAAAGTGGGGGAGGAGGGGAGGGAATGACTATAGTTAAAAATGTAAATTTAAAAAAAAGTGATAGTCGTCTCTCTTTAGGAAAAGAGTGAAAAAAAACCAAGAGATAAGTAAATAAAGCACATGGACTGTAAATTTACTTTTTTTAAATAATAAGTGTACACAAGTAATAAGTAGGTAAATAAATCGTATAAAACAGTTGTCGACAATCAACTTTTGTTTCATTTCTTGCCTGTTTGTTTATCCTGTTTATTGAGTTGTGGAGAGTAGTTATTCGAAGACAATGAATAAAACTGTAATAAGTATTCATTGTGATTAAAAATGGTTTTCGGAAAAGTTGTTGTCATAATCAATTTACTTATTTACTTACTTACGCCTGTTACCCCTCGTGGATGAGTATAGGCTACCCACCAGCATTCTCCAACCTTCTCCATATATATATATATATATATATATATATATATATATATATATATATATATATATGAGAAAACAATGATTTATAGATATTGTCTTCTATTCAAACTGATGATTATAGTCTATTTATATACAACATTTGCGTAGTATAAAAAGTGTGTCAGGTTGTGGACAGTTCAAAAGATAAGATACAAATATCTATGTATCTATGGGCACTTGAAAAATGGGTTACACAGGTAGCATATTTCATTTCTTAGAATGACAATATTTTCTAGAAAAACAAAAGTTGTTAAACGATACATGATAAGAATCTTACATAAAACTGTTCGTTAATTTAAAGAATAGTTGTGTTTCGTGAAGGGAATAGAGTTGAAAATTCTATGTCTACAGTTGTTTTTTTTACCTAGAAACTAGGGTAAATGAATTAAATAGATATTAGGCGTATTATTTATTTGATGTGTGTATAGGGGCAGTTGAATAATTAAGGTAATTGAGTTTCAACCACTGTATTACCAGTTTGAATCCAACTTTGTATATTTCTCTTTGGTCAGTTGGGTATTGTCAATAGTCTTCATGTATCTGAAGTATAACTCGAAGATAGTTTTGTTCTCTGAGCTGGTTGGTTTGATCGTGGAGCTTTCGTCGTTATTCTGGATAACATTATCAGCACAAACTTCAAATAGAAGTGAAGTGTTCGAATTTCTCCACATATGGTTCACAGCTTTTCTTGTACATCTTGATCTTCATTGGTGATTGTCGACCTTTAACCTGTTATTATTTACTTCTTTATTTTGGTTGTATCTCCTATTTATTCGAACACTTCACTTCGACTTAGAGTTTGTGTTGATGGATGTCGTTCAGAATAATGATGAAAGCTCCACGACCAAATCAATCAACAAAAATCCATTAAAATCATCCATCTGAGCTACAAATCTTCTTTACCATCTCAAAGTTGGTTACATAAACTTGTACTCAATAAATGAGTTACCATAATATTTATTTGGTAAAATCATTTTTAACATTATGAGGAGAGGTCGTTTTAGAGATTGTTCCATTCGAATGTAATTGTTCATGTCACTGATTAACTTGAACTAGACAACCAGAATACTAAACAGATACTTCATCCCATCCCAAGTGATCAAATACAGAACCTTCATATCTTCTGATGATTTTATCACTGATACAATCGTACACATTTCCGATTTCGTTAATGAGTCTCATGTTAAGGTGAAACAACTATCTAGTGATTCTTAGTCTTTAGTACTTGTTTAATTAAAGTCATTTTGTAATATAATATACTTATCAGTTTACAAATCATCTATATTCATTCCATACTTGAAAAAAATTGATTTACATGATAGAAATAAGAGAACAAACACTGATCCATATGAACATTTATTCCATGTTTAGCCGATACACTCATTTATCTATTCATTTCATTCATATTTGTTGATAAATTAACAGTTATTACATATTTGGGGTGGGGTGACGTTGTTGTTGTTGTTGTTGTTGTGGTGGTGGTGGTGGTGAATATGCACAATTACCACCAAAAAATGCACACTCCATATTATACTGGAAGATGATAACACTAAATTAATGCAAAAAAATCATATCCTGTCACATTTAAATAAAATCAATGTTATGCTTGAACAAAACAACACTCTGTATAGAAAACTCCAGCAAAAGCATCCACCTGAGCTACAAATCTTCTCCACCATCTCAAAAATTATTATTATTATTATTATTATTATTATTATTATTATTATTATTATTATTATTATTATTATTATTATTATTATTACTGAATGTTTATCCTACTGAATTAAAAATATTAGTAATATTGAACCGGAAACATGGTTTCACACTTTTATCTTATCTTAACAGTATTATTAAGGAATAGTTTCATCCCTTTTTCCTCTCCCCTACAAACACATTTTGGCAGTATATATTGATAAGATTTTTTTCTTTTAAAGATTAAATCTAAAAAAAATATGTAATGATATATAGTAATCAGGTTAATTTAGGAACCAAGTTTTCTTATTTCAACGATAGATACTTGAAATTTACTTATTAAATTTCTATAGTTGAATTCATGAGTCAATTAAAGTTAGACCACTATGGAAAATCTGGGAGCACTGGACAACCGTTCCATCCTAGTATGGAACTCCTGAGCAGTGCGCATCCACAATCCTGTCTGCGGGATTCAACTCATGAACTCAATTATAAAATTACTAGAATGTCCATGAAACTCCATTCTGATATTAAATTTCTCACATGTCTTAAAAAGATACATTTAGCGAGAAAAAGTAGAAACTTTCTAATGAGCGTCGAGAAGTGCTACATAAATTATTTTATAAACAAGGATGGATAGTGGCTAGCAGTGAGATCCAGGACGCACGTTTCGTCACATTTGAGACTCATCAGCTGGGTGTACCTGCATCTCAGAGTTGATGTTCACTCTGGGACTCGAACCCAGTACCGTTCACTTCAAACACCATCACATTATCCATTTAGCTACTAAGCCCTGATAACCACTTGCATGGGCAATAGGAGTAAAGTTTAAATTCACTTGGCAATCTAGCTGACGAGTCTCAACTAGGACGAAACACTTATCCTAGATTCAACTGCTAGCCACTATCCATGTTTGCTTGTAAAGTTTGTGACTTAAGGCAATATCGAGGCCGGTGACCAACAAAAGGTTCAGACGCCATCCGTTTCATTAGGATCCTGAAGCCCATGTGCACGACTGGTTTAGAATCAGGGATTTTCAACTCTCCTAGGTGGATCCTCTACATCCACCAAGTCGATTAAGGCGTCAGACATTCGCTTTTCGTCTTCTCAATTTCATAGAGAACACCGCCACCTCGAGAAGGCAGTGAGTAGGACTTCCCTGATAGTGGCTGTATACGAGTGGCTATGTGAGAACATTTCGAGAGGTAGAGAGGACTCCCCCCTTGTCCGTACTAGGGTATTTGGGGGCAAATGTCCTAGGATTATTCACTAGATTGTTGAGTCACCATCTATTCAACGGATTTAATATTACTTTTAACTGTAACACTAACCGCTTCACAGTGATGCGCGACCATCTTACATTGATTGAGGCGGATAAATGCCTCACACTCTATATAGTTGAACTCCATTGATCACGGCTTCTTAATAAAACTGCAAAAATTAGAAAGTCGAACTGATGCATATATTTATAAATATTTTCTCTCTATCCATTTTACAGGTCCTGAATATGCCAGTGCATCTATATTCGGCTTTACACCACCACCATCGGATCTATCAGATGGAGCATCTATTAATTGTGGAGAGAACAACAATAATGGTAATATTCCATCGAATTATTACCGTCCAATTATTTCAAGACTTGGTAATAATCAACATTATCCAACACCTGGTTTGATGCCTAATTTAAGTTCCAATTACAATGGACCTCTTAGTACATTATCGAATACAGGAGGGCCAACTTATGAATTGCATACAAAAATGCATATTTTACCTAACGACACTATAAATAATGATAATAGTAATAATAATATTAAGAATAATGAGCAGTTTTATTCATCAACTGTAAATCAACCAAATGCAACAGGATTTTTATTTCTTCCACGTTCACAAATTGGAAATGTTGGGGGAGGTGGAGGCGGTACTATGATGAATCGAATATCGTTTGCTACTAATCAATTTCCACAATTGAATCATACTAATATTCCTAGCAATAATGGATTTATATCTGTAACAAGTGGAGATTTATATAATATCTATCAAACAACTGGGATAAATCTACCAATTCAATCAAATTTACAGACCTCTCTACAACAACAACAACAGCAACAACAACAACAACAACAACAACAACAACAAATGTACTGTCAACAACAGCCAACTGAATATAAGGTAAGTAGATCATTGTATTACGATTAACAAGTGTTCACAATCATTCATTCAATTATTATTCAACTATGATGGTCAATCTGTGACCATCTCAATGTTACGGACGGAGTATCTATCTAATGCTCCCTGGTTTTTATTAGTTTCTCAAATGTTTTCAGTTTTTGAAATCAAAACTAACCTCAATCAACAATACAAAACATACAACGTGATATACATCATACACACTTCGACAAAACTTAATATCAGTATAATGGACTCTAATAAAATCAATTTAATTCCTAGAAGAAGAAAAACAAGCATGATTTTACTCGAGATTGTTGACATGTATCAATATACATGAAATCCAATCATAAGACAAAACTTGAACTATGATTAACTTCTATTTTTCTATGGTTGGTGAATCCTGAAAGGCAAATCTAACATCTAATATTCATCCTTAGATTAAACGAATTTCCACAATTCATGGACCAATTCAAGAATATGATAGTTATTCATTTGTGATGGTGGATAAGATTTGTAACTGAGGTGAATGATTTTGATGGAGTTTTGTTCTATGAACTGGATAGTTTGATCGTAGAGCTTTCATCGTTCATCTGAATGACATCATCAGTACTTCTACCTGGAGTTTGTGCTGATGATGTCATTCAGAAGAATGATGAAAGCTTCACGATCAAATCATCCTGTTCAGAGAACAAAACTCCATAAAAATGAATCAGTCATCAATAACGTAGAACTCGGCATGAATATGTATCAGTCCAAAAGTGGACTAAACTATTTCGAACATATTTCAAAGAATTCGGTCTACATTATATGTAGATATAAAATGCGTGTTTTAAACTCTTGCAAATGAGATTTTTAACCAGGTTTACTTTTAATGTCAATATGTTTGAATTTAGCAACCATGATTTCATGTAAGACTATAGTTTTCACAAGGCTACGGAATTACAATAGGCGATTCTCCCTCAAATACTATTTATATAATTTGACCTCTGTTTTGAGTCTCTTGATCTAGTTTTCATTGTCATGGTAACATTTACTACTAAAACATCGAATTACGGGAGTTTTCATGTCTGTGAAACTATGAATTTCTTCAAGATCATGCATATACACAGTTTATTGATCAGTGTAATCTAGCAAAACACTAGATCATAAAGTTTTCTGTTGATTTTCTCCAACTATTTAACAGTTATTATTATTGAGTTTAAGGTTTCACATCATGGATTGACTTTACTTATACAATCATTGAAAAGCAGAATGTCTTAATTTCTGTTCCAACCCAATATATGACTCTTCAGTATTATACATTCATCTCTCGGTCAAGAGTCGAACGCATGACATTTAGTCTTGATGGGGACTACCTAACCTGCATATCATTAAGTTGACATTCAGTTATCTACTTTTAACAGTTCCTGTACGGCATCATCTGTTTTTGCAGTAATATCTACATTTCCACTTACCATCAAGAACAAATCATTTAAATCCAATAGGGAGCGAACACATTAGTCTTGTAGGCTTCATAGTCCAATTTTTTAACCACTGATATTTTCAACTTAATTGAAACTTATTTCACTGTTAATAAGGGTTTAAATTATCTCGTTGTTGATATTCAGGACTGAATTTTGATCAGTCTTGACTACTACTGATATCAATATCATACCTGTCGAACTAGTTAATGGCTATTTGATTGAACTCAGTACCTTAGTATGGGATGACACGTTAGCGTTTGAAGTAAAAGATGACGTGTTCAGGTCTCAATGTGAACATCAATAATGAAATACAGGAATAACAATCCAGAAGGTCCCAAATAGTAGGGTACAATGAGCATCCTGAATTCCACTTCTTATACTCACAATCTATCCATTCTTTAAATGAAACTTATTTTAAATGTCAAATTTCATTCTAAATAATTAGCCATGTTGTTTCTCTCTATTTTGATATATATTTTTTTAGTTTATTAAACAATCTGATGATAATACAACATGGCGATTATCATCAACATTATCGAATAATCGACAATCAGTTATTATCAATTCGACACCTCAACAGATATCACCATTTACCGAACAATGTTTAAATAATTTAGATTCTTCATGGACCGGTACTGTAAATAGTAATAATAATGATAATAATCCTCATAGAATAACAAATATAACAGATACAAATATAATGGGTACATTGAAAGCTAACTATTTCCTCCCTATTATGAATACTTCAACAACACTAAACAATAATAATAATAATAATAATAATAATAATAATAATAATAATAATAATAATAATAATAATAATAATAATCCTAAACACGATGAACAACAAATTGCACAATCATATTTTCTTGCAAATCATCAACAAGGGAAACAACAACAAATTACTTATCCTTCGTTTCCTCCTCCACCGCCACGAATACTTACTTCAATAAATTCAGGGATATTATCAACTACATCACCATCAACAACAATATCAACAACCATTACATCACCGATATCATCAAATGAACTAAATTTTTCTCGTAGTAGTCCAGTAGGTGCAACAGAGGCAATAACAACAATATCGACAGAATCTGGAGCTACGAATGGAAATAGTGGGGGTGGTTGTTATACAATGATTGATTGAAAACAAAATATCTGATCCTCCTGTACCATTTTATTCTGTATGTTTATAAGATATCATTGTCTATGTAGAAATTAACACTAACGGCAACAGCCATAATAATAATAGTAGTAGGAGTAGCAGTAGCAGTAGTGACTAACATCTTTGTAGGACTGTGTATTACATAAAATACAAACATTTATCATGCATATATATATGGAAAAATCTATGTGTATAATTGCCTTATTTCTAGTATGAACAGGGAATTCATTTGGATACATGTTTGATATAACAAGGTAGTTCTCTTACTGGGTACTGCAAATAATAGTATCAATGATACTATTTCCTCGTCCACCCCCCCCGACAGGGGTGTGTGTATGGATTAAAATATTTCTATTTCAACTTGTACAAAATAAGTTTTTGTTTGTTTTTTTTTCTTCTGAAAAATAAAAAAAATAAACAATTCGATATAAATTCCATTGATTTTCCGTTTCTTATTGTTGTTGATTGTTCTGTCAAATCATCATCATCATCATGTTTGTTTGTTTTATTAAAAGAGAAAGAATAATCGTCATCTTCACCATCGTTGAATCTGATTTATCTTCTGTCTCAATTAAAATGTGTTTACATCGTTTGTTTTTTTAAACTGTTTTCTTTCTTCAATAATTGTCTTCCATGATTCGCACACACACACACACACAAATAAAAACGAGGGAATGATTATTTCATTTTCATTTTAAAGAATCAATAACTAAATCTTCCATATTTCAATGAGAACATTCAACACTTTACCCCCGGTGGTTGTTACTCTTTCTCTTCTTTTTTTTCTTTTTCTTTAAAAAAGTTAGATGTATGTGTATCTTCTGCATGTTTTGTTTTTCCGTTGAAAAATGAAAACTCAACTAAGATGAACCTGTAAAAATGGGATTTGTATGTCATTGATTAACAGTTTATCTTTCACAGTTATTCTACTATAACAACAACAACAACTAATTATCCATTTGATTTACTAAATAGAAATAAAATTTCCCGATTTCTAAGATCATTCTTTCTTGACTTGAATTAAATGCCAATTGTCTATTCTTATATTATGCATGTATTTCACATGTGTGTGTGTGTATGTGTATGTTTTGATGAAATTCATCAATATGTGATAATTTGATGAACATTAAATTCCATCATAAAGTTTTGTTTCTGTGCTGAAGTTCCCCCCCTAACTACTTTTTTTTTTCCAGAAAGAATAATAATAATAATCAATTGGGATTTTAAGTGTATTGGTAACTAACATTGATAATTGTGTACACAGATTTATTCCTATTCATCATTAGTAAATTTAACCCAACATCATTTTAATACCGTTTTTATTGTTAAAAAGAACAAAAAAAGTTAATATGTGTACAGTACATTTTTCTGTTTATATTTGTCCAATGCTTCAATTAGTTTAATCTGAGGTGTTTTGAATAACAAACAAAATTTGCTAAATGTTTCCATTTGTGTGTATATGAAGTCTGTGATTAATAGATGTGTTTAATTGTTGTCGTTGATGTTGTTGTGGTCAACAGTTTTTTTCTTCTTATTACATAAGATTGACCGGTTGATTAGAAGTGTGTTTGTTTGTTCCAAATACTTGCATGTATGTGTGTTCATACATAATAATAGTAGTACATTATCCTTTTGTAATTCTCATCTCTATCTCCCCCTCCTCTCCTATGTCTTCTTGTTTGTATTTTCATTGGATTCAATTATTTATTTTTTATTGTGTTAAAAAGATAGTGAAAGGAGACTAAAAGCAACATCATTGCAAATTGTGGTGTTTGGTTGGGGAAGTTTTCTCTTCTTTTTTTTCCCGGATGTTCAAAAACGTCGTGTTGATATTTTTCAAACAAAAATAAAGATTATTACTCGCATAAATTTGGTATTTCTTTATTTCTGGCATTTCTGGATTGATTTTACTGATGAAACTAGGTATTTAACTTGTGTATGAGGTAAATATTAACAAAAATGTTGTTATTACGAAAGAGTAATTGTCAAATGGTGTAGTTATTCAAAGGTTTACTTTTCTCGTTGAAATTTGAATTATAAAGATAATTGTTTATAAACTGTAACAATAACTACAAAAAGTTGTTTCAGCAAACTAGTTATAGGCTACTTATCTTAACTTAGCCCCGCATTCAACATGTTCTTGATTCATGTTTATGTGTAATGATATTCTGATAATTAAGTTTAAGTGTATAATGCTGTATAATGCAGCATAAATCAAACCAAATGTTGACTGTGAATATGTCATGCTTAGTTTTATTGAAGACAATTATTTACAAAAAGTTGGATTGTTGAGGAAAGTGTTCATCTGTGAATGCGATTATGACATGGTTGTGAATAAATGTACGTAATTACAATATAGAATGATATTATGTTGTAATTGTTGGAGTAATCACTCAGTCGGGAATGCATCATTTACTGTCGCGTTCTAATTTAACATTGAGACAGTTAATGCTGTTAGTAATTGATTGGATAGTAGGAACGCAAAGTACAAATGCAGTTGGATTGGTCAATTTCTCAAGACAGTACGATTACAACTACCATTATGCTTTGTTGCTACCAGAACAGTTGTTAAGATTGGTAAAATTAAGGTACATAAAAATGTACAATGGAGGGAGGAAGGGAAAAGATGCTGGATGGGTAAGTAACATTTATTTAACTATGTAAAATCACTTAGACAAGGATGACTTGTAGTCATATTCATAAGAGCTCTGTTCATTAGTTTCTAATTCAAGATAGAACACCTTACAGGTAATCGAGAAAGATAAACTAGTAATGAGAAATTTTCCATTTTACATTATGAATAGTTCATAATAGCTATTTATGTCCTTAATGGGAGTTAACATATGCAAAATGGATAGAAAAAATGAATGGAAAAGGCCGGTACCACCAAACAGGTCATGTATATCACCAACATGGGTGACCTGTGTCAATGATTAAGGGCCTGTAGTGGCATTGGTTCCTAACCACACAATTCAAGAAGCTAAACATATAATTACTGGGAAGACTGACATTCAACATGTGACGTTCGCAGGAAATCGGTAGTTGTGAATGCGGGAATAATCATTCGAGGTAGCATGGCTCAACTTTGCAGACGTGGTCAGTACTTGTAACCTTTTACTATTTGCATTAGATATGCTATTCCATTCCCAGTCCAAATGTGCTATTCGGAAGTGCTAAGCATCACATTGTTAATGGTTACGGTACGATGAGTCAGAATAGACAATGACGTAACTTTCACATCATGACAAATCTAACATTAGGTTTATTATCATAGTAGTGGAAATAAATGCACTGATACCACAGTAGTCCATGTTTCTACAGGCCTACTCCAGTTAAACGAGAATGGTGTAAGCTCCTAGCTTATATAGAAGTCACACCCTACGGTTACTACCTATAGCGGATTATTCTTAAGTTGTATCTAGTTACATAACGATATTAGGGAAATGTATTAATAAGATTAGATACAGAAAAACAGTACGACCACTGCTGTGTGAGCCAGTCCATGACGTCCACTTGACCAATACACATCGGTTATTCTCTACTTTGAAGAAGATCGGTAAACCGTTCGATATTCGATTTGGCTAGGGCCGAATAATATTTCCTTCCTTTACAATACCATCCCATTAGACCCAACGGCCGTTTGAATAGGTAACAAACACATAGAGGGTCTTCATGCACCGAAGATTGCCGAGCGATCCATAGTAATCCACCAGAAACTGCCAAGTTGTATGGCAAATGGAAAGTAGGCGTCAGTAACTGATCGAGAAATGATGAGTAATAATTAAGTTGGGAGTGTGGGATTAATTGTTGTTCTTAACAGTGTTACTTACAGGTGGGTTGAATGTAAAGCTAAGATGCTTCGACTACTAGCTGCGGATGACTCAGCCATTCCTACCTATGGTACACGACAGCTTACGGACAACTTGTGAAACCGACGATATTATCTGTTGACGTCCATCATTGCCGATGTTCTCACAACCATACTCGGTATTGATTTCCTACAGCACTATGACTTGCAAATCAATTCACTTAGGCTGCAGCTAATCTATACTTTGTCAAACAGTAAATTCATGGGCTTTAAAGCTCAGACAAATGCGTACCGAACCACAGGCATTTTTCACTCGCGTGACGATGTATTCCACGCTTTATTTCAGAAATTCCCCGACTAACTAAACCTCTTGAGGATCTCCCATCGGTGACCAATCGTGTGGTACACCACATAGTCACCCGCGGACCCCCAGTCACGGCAAGACCTCGCCGACTGGCACCGGATAAATTGGCTTTCGCTAAACGTGAGTTTGACAGTTTACTAGCTACTGGTATTATTCGCCTTCTTACGGCTCTTGAGCCTCACCTCTTCACATGTTTCGCAAAAAGGATGGGGTTAGTTGGAGACCATGCGGCGACTATTAAGCATTAAGTGTAGCTACACATTTTGATAGCTGCCCTATCCCCCACATAAACGACATCACAGCATCACTCAAGGGCACGACTACTTTTTCTGAAATCGATCTGGTACGAGTATGTCAGTCGCTTTTGAAGACATCGAGAAAACTGCTATCACGTCTCCTTTCGGTCTGTTTGAGTTCTTACGAATGCCACTTGGATTACGGAATGCTGCTCAAACTTTCCAAAGGTTTATCGATGACATAGTACGAGACTTAGATTTTGTTCACGTCTATATTGATGATCTGCTAATCGCATCATCAAACGTAGATGAACATTATCAACATCTTACACTCTTATTCCAACGTCTTTTGGACAATGGAATAGTAGTCAACCCGGACAAGTGTGAACTGGGTAAATCAGAAATAATGTTCTTAGGTCACACTATTAAGCAAGAGGGTATTTAACCTTGTGAGGACAAAGTACACGCAATGATGGAGTACACCGTACCGTTCTCATTCAAGGAAGTGAAGGCATTTTTCGGTTTGGTTAACTTCTACCGACGTTTCATCCGACACGCAGCAGAACGATCGCGA